TGCTGGGACTAGAGAGGCATGTGCCACCAAGCCCAGCTGGATTTTACTGTATTTATATAAATAAATTCATAATAGTTTAGTGTACCACCCCTTTGTTCCTTGGCTAATGCATATTTCCATGCTGACAATGTACTTTTATCCATCTGGCACCCAGGAGAGCAGGAAGGAGCTGAAGAGGGCCTTCCTGGGTGCCAGAGGCTCACAGGGCACAAACAGGGCTTCTTGACTTGAATTCAGAGTCCTACCTGCCACCCTCCAGCTCTGCGATTGGCATGGATGCTGGGAGCAATTTCTGAGCTTCATACTGAGCTGGCTTAGTCTGGTGCAGATGGCAGTGAACTTGCATGGGCTGAAGCCCAGGTCAGGCCCTGCTCAGGTCCCTCCCCAGCTTTGCCCCTACATTACCTGCTTTAGCCACTGTGTCCTGCTTCTAGCTCCTGGTTTACCACAGGGTTTACCTTGTCCTTCCAGTATGCTAAAAACTGTCTCTAAGTTGCTCCTCAGCAGCCTCTCACCCTTCCATCAAAACTACATTTTGGTGAGATGCACACATGAGCCCCTTTTGTTGGCCATTAGGAATTTATTTCCAGTTAAACAAGCTAGGAAGTGTAATTAACTGCATGTTTGATGGCACTAGCCAAAGGTGCCTGCCAGAAAAACAGTAGGTTTTTAAAGATGCCAAGGACTGACATTATGCACCTCTTGTTGGAAACGGTGTACACTTCACACCCTGAGCCTCCTATGTGCCACCTCATATCTTCAATCAAATTATTACATTCCAGAAATATGCATAAGGGAAATGACTGTACACATTTTATGGTGGATTGTTGCTTGTAGCAGTAATTGAAGTACCTTTTCCACTTATGAAAGTACTAATTTTATTTGTTTTTATTGCTTTTCTAGATGCAATTATTTATTTAGTGTGCTTTGGCTTTATTAAATTATGTTTACTATAGGAACATCATAAAAATGTATGAAAACAACACATCAGCCACGCCAGCCTGGTGACCCATATGGAGAAAGCTAGTGTTATTTTTCATATCCAAACGTAATGAAATAACTTAGGAATAAACAGATAATCTACAGTAGAAAACAATGCAATTTCAAGGTAATGCAATAAAACACCTGGACAATATGATTTCATAAATCTTGGCTCTAAAATTTACATGAGGTGGGTTTTAGGGGCTTATCTGAAGACACATGGCATTTCTAAATGGAATCATTATAATGTGAAATGTAATTAAACCAAAAGGCAAAGAATGTAAACAGGGTTTTTGTAGGCTGGTAAGATATGGATGGCCAAGAAGTGATGTAAAGTCTTTCAGGGTCAAAAGACAAGCAACGACTCTCATCTCTCTAAAAGTTCTGAACTTTAAACTCAAAAAATGCCTAACATATGGTTCAGATTGCTGGGCAATCACCTGGACCAGAGGTATGGCTGGGAGGCAGAGCCCCCCTCCCCCGGAGTCTGTCTCTCTCTCTCCCCTCTCTCTTTCTTTCTCTCTCTCTCTCTCCTCTCTGACTGTTACCTCCTGTCCTGTGGTGGGTGCTGCACCTCAAAAGAAAACAGGTTTTTTTCTTTGGGCATTTTTTCTAAGAAACTTAAAGGTAATCAGATTGCTTGTCCCAAATTTTCCCAAGAAAATCAAGCTGGCTCCTGGTTTTGCTACTAGCTCTCTTGTTAAGACCAAGTCTTACTTGGTCTTATTGATACACCCCATTTTTCTCTCAGATAACTCTCAGGTACACTTAACCCTTCCATTGAAATATTAATGCAGAAAGCTGGGGATGTAGCTCAGTGGCACCAAGCCTGCTTGAAATATTAATGCGAAGGAGGGTAGTTGGACGCAAATATTTTAAAGAGGTGAAAATAAAACAACTACTAGCATCAAAGTAAAGACAAAAAGCCAAACTAAAAAACCTTAAATTTGATATCTAGTTTGTAAAGACCAGAGCTACTTAACTGAACATGATTTTTTGATCATAAATGCACAACCACTTTTCTTTTTTCATTATGAATTTAAATTTATGCACTATTCAAGTACACAAACTGACTTCAAAATCCAAATGTCCCCACACACATGTGTCCTAAAGCATGACTGCCCCTCCAAAGGAGCCACGGTTAATGGGCTCCATTTGCTAAATAATTTCTGAGGGCCCCCAGGGCTTTCTAGGTATGTAACGCATATGTAGACATAATTACTCACATTCACAGACACACACATGTTTGCCCAAAGGATGCTGAGGCCCAGAGCTCCCACATTCTGCTCGAAGACTGGACCACACACTCTGTTATCTAAATGCCCTGAGTTCCCGCTGATGCCCACTTCCATGTCTGGTGTTTTGTGTGAGCCAAGAAACATTCCCACCAAGGGTACGTGAGAGAACCTGTTAGTTGGGGCAACATTTATACTTTTTTATGTTTGGCAATTTGAGTGACCAATGATTAAGTTTGAGTGTGACTTTGAATCATGGTTCCCTCGGGCCAGCCTGCGTCTTGTCTCATCTGAGAGGGGCACTGGTGTCCCCTTTCCCGTGACCGCCCGGTGCCCACTGCTGCCCACTGCTATCTTCCGCTTTCCAGTGGAATCCCGACCATCACCTTTGTTGTATTGTACAACCCTCTGTTATAAGCTGAAAATACCTTCTCTGTTTTTAAGCTGCCCTTTGACTTTATTTAGAAAATATTTTGCCATCTCGAGCATGAACGTCTACATCCTCTTCCTATTGCTCCTGGATTTTGTGCCATACTTCAAAATACCTTCCATACTCAAGATTTTTTAAAAGTCCCCATATAATCTTCCAATATTTTTATGGGTTTATATTCTGCATGAAGATTTTTAATTAATTTGAAATTTACCTGGGTATAAAGAATGATATAGAGAAATGATTTTATTTTTCTCCAGTTGCTACCAAGTACCCAAAAAATATTTAATGAAAAATAATACTTGGATTAATTTCCATATTTTTACATCAACTCCACTGAGACATATATGCATATATATGTATATAATTTCTTAAATATGGTTATTCATCTGCAAGTACCACAGCTTTTTTTTGTTTATTTTAATTAATTTTATTGGTACATTTTAGGTATATAATATAATGTCATTCACCATTGAACATTTGCACCTTTACATAATCTCACTAGGTTATTTTTTCCCCATTTCCCTGCCCTCCCTTCAACCCTTCCATCCCTCCTTATTTATAAAGACTTCTCACACTAGAGAAACTATTTGGTATTTACACATGTGTGTCCTATTTATTTCACTTATGAGTATGGCCTCAATGTGCATCCATTGAGCTATAAATGCCTCTAATTTCTCATTTTTTATGGCTGAGTAGTACTCCATTTTATTAAAAAAAACACATTTTCTTTATCCAGTCTCCAGTTGATGGGCAGTTTGGCTGCTTCCAAGTTTTAGCTATTACAAATTGTGCTGCTGTGAACATGGGTGCACATATATCACTGTGGTATGATTCTTTGGAGAAGGTATCCAGCAGGGGAATAGCTGTACCACAGTTTTTAAATAAGTTCAGTTCTCTATATATTTAATATCATGACTTGGATCACCAATTATTCTTTATTTTAATAGTATTTCTCAATCATGTTAAGAAAATATACATTTATGACTACTTCACTCAAAAACTGTTAACAAAAATGCATTTTAAATTTTATTAAATGCCTTTCTAGCAACTATAATCATATGGTTTTCTCTTTGATCTTTTACTTTTATGAATTATATTAATAGATTTTTCTAATATTGAACTGTGTTTGCATTCCTGGAATAAAATCAACTTGAATATGATTATCTCTTAATGCATTTCTTCATTTTCTCTGAATAAATTTAACTTAAACTTTATATTAATAAATGATCTTCTTCTAAAATATGTGAACTTTCTCTTCCTTTCTTATGGGCTGGATGAACTTAATTACATTGAAATTATTGGGTCCCCAAAGGAATTTCTTTTAGAAATTCTACAAAACTGCTAGCCTGGTACTATTTGCAAACAGCTCTTCCTTCCTTCCTTCCCTTTGTCCTTCCCCTTCCTCTTCTTATCCCTCTCCCTCTCTCCCCCCCCCTCTTTCTATCATAATTAGAACATTCAAATTTCATTACCTTTTATTTTTTCTGGCACATTACCATTTTACCTTGTATTTTAAAATGTTTCTAATAAGTTGAGCAAAATAGTCTGACAAAATTTTTTACAATTTCCTTAATTTACATTCTATCCCCTTTCTCATTTCCTATTTTATTCACTTGTACTTTTTTCTCTTTTTAGTTGTTTTGTTGTTATTTTCCAAACATCAGTTCTTAGATACTCTATTATTTGTTTTGGATGCATGGTCCCATTTTGTTTTTATTGGGTTTTTTCCTTCTGTTTTTCTTTCCCTTATGTTGCCCTTTTTCTAATTCCTTGAGATGGATGCCTGACCAATTCAGATTGTTTAACATTAGTATTCAAAGCTATGGCTTTTCTTTCAACCATACACTCTTTAATACTTTTAATCATTATTTTCAAGATACTCTGAAGTTTTAGCTTTATATAGGTTAAGTCATTTACAAAGATTTCTAGGTGCATTATTCTAGGTACATTATTTGTAGGTGCATTTTTCTAGGTACATTATTAATTCCTAGGATGGATTGTTTTGGTTTCCCCTTTTATATTTCCTTTTAATCAGAAACTGTTAGTTATGTTTGACTTCTCAGAATTAAAGTTTTTTGAGGCCTAGGGATTAGTAATTTTCGTGAGTGTTCATGTCAGCTTTAACATACATTGCAGTGTCTATCGGTAGGGCATAGAGATCCAAGCAGAACAATTCGATCTATCTAGCTTTGTAATTATGAGATTTTATACCCTTTTCAATGTTTCTGTTCACTGTTTCCCCTCAAAACCCCCAAATGCTATGAAAATTCATGTTTGAGAAAATGCATGTGGAGCTGCATTGGTCAGCTAGCATGGTGGTTTTCTTTCTCTCTCTCTTTTTTTTTAAATAGCCAAAGATCACCGAGGAGAACTTGACCTATGCCGAGCTGGAGCTGACCAAGCCGCCCCGGGCTGCCAAGGGCACCCCAACTAGCACTGTCTACGCTCAGATCCTCTTTGAGGAGAACAAGCTGTAGGCCCCAGGTCCTGCATCCCCACTGCCCAGTTATTTATGAAACCTCGGGGACACAGCCCCTCCTGTGGTTCTCTCCATTGTGCCAGTGTGTGTTGGGGCCCCTTCCCAGTGGCACTCCTGGTCCCACCACATCAGAGTGACTCTGCCCTCCTCAAGGACAGGTAGCTCTACGCCCCAGCCCCAGGCCGAGGACGCTGCCTGAGTGTACCTGGGAACACTGTCTGCTGAGCCATCCCATCACATCTCCTCCTCCTCTCCTGGATTTTAATTTGTTAAAATCTTTTTCTAAATCTTAATTTTAACCTTCCACACTGCCAGTATACGTGATACCAAGCTACAGGAAATGCCATTATAAGCCACAGCATGAGACAATAGATACATAGTAATTGGCTTTCAGAGACCCAAATGGCATCATCAGAGCACCCCGGGCCCAGCAAGCCAAAGATGGCAGCAGCTACTTCGATGGCATCCATTGTTTAAAATAGATGTGCTGATCCTAGTAAGTATGGAGGGGCCATGGGCGAATCTGAGGTCTCAGAGAACTCTGTACCTGCCAGCCTACGACAATCCAGAGGCCACAGGCCAAGTTCACCTTTCTGAAGGCCTCACCAGGGAGTTTGCCACCAATGGACTGTGGAGCAAGCGGCCTTGCCAAAATGTGCCACACTGTCTTCTCCTTCCGGTCTCCACTGTGGGAAAGCGAAGTCTTCCCCCAGGTCCCCTCAAGGAAGGAGCAAAGGACACACACACCACCCTGGAGCCTGTGTCTCAAGGGCCCTTCTCTTGCCATGCGCCTTGCCCGCCTCCACCTCGTCTGTGAACTCAAATGGGGTTGGACAGGTGCAGGGCTGCGTGGCCTTGCCATGCATACGGGAGCTGGGACTGGTTGAGCGCCATCCCTTCTGCACATGGTGCTGGTCCCTACTGTTCTGTCTGTGAGTGTACTCTGGGTGGCCATAGCCTGCACACACACTATATATAGAAATGATTTGTCTATGTAGTATGCCGTATATATGGGACAA